CCGTTTTTGAGAGATTTAGAACAATCCCTGTAGAGTTCTGCTGATGTTGGTTTTTTAACAGTCTTTTCCATGCACATGAAGTGCACCCCTCTTTCAATCTGCCAACATCTCTTATAGCCAAGATACTCAAGACTTCTATTTCCCTCTGTGCTTTATGTTTTTCTGGCACAAGCCAATTTCCTTTCTCCTCTCTAAGGTGACTTGGACTGCTGCCTTCTGACTGTGAATTATTTTTCTGGGTTTCTTTGTAAAGCTGCTTAAATTGTTCTACAGAAAAAAAAAATTAAGCCTCTCTTAGCAAATGTTACATTGGTAATTAAATGCCAATATTTGAATTTCAGAACGTCTCCTGTTCCTGCAGTTACTGCACAGCACTTTCTGATACATGAAGCTAGGACTTTTTAGGCAGAAACTTTTAATATGTATATTATTGCATATTTATACCTTATTATATATTTAATACTAATATTATTAATAAATATTTAATCCCCATGTTTTACCAGAGAAGTTCTAGAAAGAAAAGCAAATGTGAGATGTTATTAAAAAAAGGCATATGAACTGTTCTGCCTGTTCTGGATGGCTTGCCAAATACACTAATGCTATGTATCATATTCAGCATTGCAGGGTCCAAACTGTATTCCCTGCACTATCCAGCAGATGATGCTAATGTATTATAAACTATTCTGTGTTCAATTTTAGTCAGAGGAAAGATGACCAGCTAAAAGATGTAGCTTTGTCTCATTCCAGCCATTTTTAAAAATTTTTCCATTCCCCTCTTTAACTCCCTTTTCTAATATGCATTATTCTGAGTCTCAGAACCTGTTGTTTTTCTGAAGCAATTCTTTAACTAAAGATTGGCCCTTTGAAGTACCTACTTACCAATCTTTCTTAACCCACTGATATTCCTGTGAGTTTGACATAAAAGTTTGACCAGTTACAGAAGTCCCTTGGCTATATTTACCACCTATTTAATCATATATTGTGATGTACAGCATTAGGTTTTGTGCTGTTTCAAGCATTTATTCCCATTTCCAGTCTGCAGAAAATATGCGAAGCCAGATCCTTGCACTAAAAAGACAAAAGCTAAAAGGGAAAATAAAATATACCATTCATGTATATAAAGAAAAAGGCAAAACTGTGTTTCCATGAATCGTCCAGGATCCTCAGCTTTCTAATCTCTTCTCTAGTGTAAGCATACCTTAATTATAGGCTATGAAGGGAAGCTTTATAATCACTTCTACTTTGCAGTGGGTTCTGATTTTCTTACTCAGGGAGACTTGCTCCTAATATTACAAGAAGCCTCCACAGAGGACCTTGGAATTATTTGCAGGATGAGCATGCTACTGATCAGATATATCAGAGGCCAAGATTTTTCAAACAGAGTGACAGTGCCTGCATAGTATTTACAGACATTTTTCCGATGAAAGTGAGATATAAAGTATAGGTTTTCCAAGGTGGGTAGAGAAAAAAATGGAGTTTTCTCTGCTTGCCTCGGTTTTGACCTCATTCTCTGACGTGGTGGGATCGTAGCCAGCCCTCTCCAGAAGCCAGGCATCCAGGGACTATTTCTACTGGACTAGCACTTGCCATCCTTCCAGCCGTTGGATCCTCTTGCAGCTTTTACCTGCTTGCTGGATTGCTGCAACCCTGGAAGGAGACAAGTCAAGAGGAACAAATCCCAACTTCTGAGGAGAAAAGACAAAGTACAAAAGAGGGAATTGAGCTGCCTGTCTTTGCCCTTTATTTCTTTCTCTGCCTCTTTTTTTTTTTTAACTCTGCTCCCTTGGGAAAAGTGTAGGCCCCTGAGGAGATGGAGAAAGAACCTTCTTGCTTCCTGCAGCAAGCAGGTCTGACGTCTGTCCTTTCCAGACGGTGAGGCTGAGGCTAATTAGATCATTTGGCTTTTCTCGTACTTTTTCCCCCCAGGAGGGCTGAGTTATGTGAGAAAGTTGAGGCTTCTCGTGTCACTTTGCAGCAGGCTCAAGGACAGGCAAAACCCATTACTGATAATTGTGTTGCAAGAGTTGGCAGCCTAGAGGAGATCTAAGAATAGGCTGCCCAACCAGCAGCTGGGACACGGAGTAGCCAGGACGGGCAGAATTCAAGGTGTAGGCTTTAGGGCCTGGGTGCCTTGAGCTAACAGCTGGGGAAAGAGTTCAGGAACTTACAAGTAAATCAGCACAAAAACACTTCAGCAGAAGCATATTTAGCCACGCAAGTCACACAGGCATAGTTGTGTAGTTGTCCATGTGTAGTCATTAAAGCAAAGAGAAACAAGAAATCGGTGGGTGGGCAAATTGTTTGAACAGAGAACACAGAGGAGTCACCCCATCCTTTTCTGTTTCCCTGGTATCAGCCACCAACACGCACACCTCTCTCACCATGTGCAAGGAAGAGAGAGTAAGAGAGGGAAAGAGAAAGCACAACACTTCAGCCATCAACACGTGTCCTTTCGCTTGAATAGGAACCACTCGCCTGGCCAGAAGTTTGCCACAAACCTGGGTTTGTGATGAGTCCCTTTGGTCATGAACTTCATGCAAGTGTATCAGAAGACACCATATTAATGTTGGAGATAAATCACTGAAGTACATAATAATTAGTATTGATAAATTTTGAACACTTATCTCCAACAATCCAACTAAGGTCCTATCACATGAAATACCTGCCTTTCTCCACAGTGTCCTGTCATATAGAGAGCCGGAGGGCTTAGCAGAAGAAGTACCTGGGTTCTTCTGCTCTGCAATTGTCTCTGTGAAGCAAGAGGGGGAAAAACATTTCACAGACATCTAAAAGAAAGGAAAATGATTGAGAAAACACAGGCCTTAAAAGGAGGTTGCCTTCTGCCATGAAACCAGAGAGACAAATATTGAAGAGCTGCATTTGTTTTGTTTTATTTTGAACTTTGAGACATCCTGGAGAAGGGTGGACTTTTTAAATAACTGACAGAAATTTTACCATAGAAGCACAGCTGGATGATAAGAAGCTGCTGGTTGCTATACCTTAACTTGATAGAATTTGTCAAGAATGACTTTGCTTCCTGCAGTGAGTAGGCACAGGAGACATTTGATTGCTACCATGGGGGCTGTTTTTAATTCATTGGAGATATTTGGGTTGAGAGGCTGAGCTTTATGGGCCATTGTTAGTAATTTGGGACAATAGTTTGGAGTACTATTAGGGAAACTAAGTTTAGACTATGTTGATAATCAGGTAGAAATGTTGAAGTCAGCCTGTAAACAGCTTTAGTGTAATATCTGTAGCTTTGCATGTGTGGTTAATTATATACATTGAGATAGGTATCTTTTAGTTTAGTAGAACAGATTTGCTTTAAAATGATTAGCTTTAGGGCATAGAAACATGAATTTGTGGGCTGAATGCTTGGGTCTGGAGAAACCTTTTTGTATAACAAAGATATACCCAAAGAAGGTAGAGAGTGGAAAATTAAATGAATTTCCAAACAATTAAAGGAGTGCAGGTGTCCAAGAGACATCATCTAGAAGGGCCATAATGGGAAAGACGTTACTCTCAAGATATTATTTATTTAAGAGAAACAGAATTTTTACTGAGAAAAAAGTTTACAGTAAACATCCAGTTAATTAAATATTAAGCACTTAGCATTCAGAAGGAGTATCGGGTTCTTTGTCATTTTAAGAAGTGCACAGTAAAAGTATACACTATACTTTCTATCACTTCTGTGAATGCAATCTCTGAATGTCTAAATTACTTAAAAATTTTATAGCTAACAATTTGAGACTTTATGATTCAGGGGGATTGGAACATACTGGGTAAGGATTTAAACATTTGAATGTGAAGGTTTGGGGGATCTTGAGAAGAACCGTAAATGTTCTAAACAGCTTAATGCAAGGAAATATTATGTACAGAGTTAGAAACTACCAAATAGAAGAAATCTGATCAAGCTTCCTTTTCATATGGAGAAGCAAATCAAAAACATTAGAGTCTTTTGCAGGGGGCAGGGGCAGAATTGCAAACAAAGTAGGGCATGATGACAGTTTCTGTCCAGTTATGTAGGGTATTTAGAAGAAAATGGAATATAGTTTGTACTTCAATGTTTTTGCTTCAATGAGTAACAAGAAAAGAAAGTTATTTGTAAATTATAAAGAATGGCATGTGTGTTAAGTTCATCCTATGATTTCAATTAGAGGTCTGAATATCAGGAAAATATTTTGATTCTAATAGTGAAGCTCTTTGTTTGCAGACAAAGGAACTGTCACAGATGGAAAGACAAAAGAAGCTTCTTTTACCTCTTGAGTTAAAAACATATAACTTACCACAGACAGCAGCTGTGTAGGAAATATTTTGAAGGAAAACTATTTTTTGAGTGCTAAAACTGACTTGGAGCCATCTTACATAGCACCAAAGTCTCAAGAATGACAGAGAAGGTGGTTTCCAAATATGGGAGATGTCTTCAAGAAAGATGTTGTTCTTTTCTTCTTCTTCTTTTTTTTTTAATCAGTTGAGGATGATGTTGCCTTCTAATCACATATTCTTTTCAGAAACATGCAAGTAGTGAATGCCTTGGACTTTGTTATGGAGATATGGGGTTAAATCAAAATTAGCTTTAACCGGGAAGGTATAGAGGAGTCTGCTATTTCACAGCACTGTTTGAAATCAAAAATAGGGAAGAAATCATCGCTCAAGGAATAAGACTTCATGGCTGCATTCTGTTGAGTGGGCAGGGTAGTGTTGAGGGCTGATTTATTGCAGACACTTCTGTTGTGTCATTATTCACTCAAAATAATGTGACTTATCACACATGCAGACTGGTAGCTTATTTCAACAGACACAGTTAAGTGCTAAATTGAGAACTGTGGAAGTGAAAAAGGCTATCCTGAAGAGCTGGAGTGTTTATGCATGCTGATCGTTGGCCTGTGATCAGATTTAGAGAAAGGGGAGTTTTGCAGCCATCTAAGACAGTTGAAGGAACTACCTAAGCACATCCAGAAGGTTTATATAAGCCTTATGAAGAGACCTAACATGATATTTGCAGGAGACTGCGTATGTGCTCGAGGCTGCCAGTTGACAAACTTTCCTTCTGCTGGCAATGCTGCCTCAGGCTGTCCTTGCCCGTGCTTGATTTCTGACGGATGCCAGGACAGCAGCTGGTGGAAACGCACAATGAACAGGACCGGGGAACTCATCCAGGTGATGAATTGCATTCTTTTTTTTTTTTTCTTGGACTATTTTCCAGACAAATCCATTTCCTAATGTGGGTTACCACAAGACAGCCAAAAATACTCATCCTGAAACATTTAAGAACACATTTGAGGGACAAGAAAAATTGAAAAAGGTTAGAGGTTACTGCTTGCCTTTGTTCAGTTATATTTGCAGAGCTTCAGAAATTCTCAGGTGTGCTGTTATCAGTAAAAATAGCTTGGCAGGGTGTTTGTTTTATAATTTCAGCTACTAAGGAGGGATCTTGAATCCCAAGGATGCCTAAAGGAGAGTTGATAGTAATAAAAAAATTTCAACTTACAGCATTTAAAAACTGTCAAGAATCAAATCTTAAACCCACCCAGGTGTGAGGAATATGGCAGGGCTCTGATAATATGCAAATCGTCAAATTGAAATATTGAAGAACTTAGTTGTTGAAAAGGTTGGTCCTGTAAATCCAGCTTCTTTGACTCTTCTGTTCTAGTTAGTCTCTTGGAGTAAGGATGAAGAGTTTAATGTTCAGATTTTCAGGAAAAGAGCTTAGAGTTGAAAAGTAATTTTAGCTGTGGGGGTTAACACCCACATAATTCAGAATATAATTCAAGAGACTTGCAGGAAAACTAAAGGTACAGATATATAGGTACACACTGAGGATAGGATGCCTTCAATACAGTTTTACTGTGTGCCTAAAATGTAGGACTATACTATCTTCATTTGGATATAGAAGATAGTTTTGTAAAAAGATCTATGAGTTCTTAATAATTTCAGACAAATCCTATTAACACTGAAAAAAACTCTGAACTTAGCTCTCAGTGGATATCGCTTTAGTTATTTATACATGAAGGAAATAATTGCTTCTCTGTTTATATAATTACCATCTACAAATTGTGGGGTTTTATTTGGGCTTCTGAATGGATGCAATACGATTTTATTGTTAACCTTTCCTACCTGCATATGCTGACTGATCTTCATCTTTAGGAGCTGATACTGGGACAACACTATAGAATATAACCATTTAAGTCTTGGTTATGATATTCACTTATATCCTATTGATATGTGAAAGGATTATATTTTCCAGAATATTTGTAAGAAAAAGGGATAAAGGCTGAAAGAGAAAGGGGAAAGCCAATACCTGGAGAGGTGTTGTTTTCTTCTTTGGTAATTGGATAAAAATCAGTTGTTAGGCAAACTGTTTTAAAGCAATTGTTGGTTTTGTTTGTTTCCTTCTCCTAACTGTTTTAGTTAGATTTGCTTGTGCTGTCAGTTAATCTGTTGTGGAGTATATACAAGGCCTGTATGTATGCTTGTAGGTGTCCCAGTGGAATTTGGAGCTGTACATCTTTCTGACATATATTAAGTTCTTCAAATATAGGGGGAAATAGTTAGTTTATTTCAGGAGGATTTTTTATGTTCTTTTCCTGTTTGGTTATAGTGAAATGCTTGGCAGAACTTTAAATTTCATGAAATTATACCACACCTTCCTTCCTACACAGGTTATGTGAGCCCTCAACATTCCAGTCATGACAATCGTTGTGACATTTCAGTGTTGTCCGTTATATCAAATTTCTTTTTATCATTGGGAATTGTCATTTTTTTGGTCCTTGTTTCTCAGGCTCTAGCATTAGGAGATAAACAAGTGAAATATGTCTTCTTTTTAAATTCTTTGACACCTTATGTGTGGCATACACTGAGTTGAGACAATATTTTTTCTACCTTCTTCTTTTGTTGTCAATTTTGTGTCTTCCTGGCTGCTTCTCCAGTGAAAAAGATCAGCATTCGTGTCTATCAAGTGCAGCAAAATTGCAGCCTGCTTCCCTCTTATCACTGCGTTCTTGGCTTCATCTTCCTTTTTTGTCATGGAGTCACCAGCAGCTGTCACTCACCTTCTTGCAAGAACTCCCATCAGATACCTCCTGCAATATTCCGTTACGCTTTGCCAGACGAGTTCCTCAGTAGGTGACCTGCTGAGAGTCTAACACCTATTTGATAAGTTGAGTGTTTTCCAGATGTTTTTTCACCTCGTGTCATAAGTTGCCAGTCAGATACATTGGTTTCTGCTTTTCTGTGGTTTCCCGCTGCTGAGCGTTTTCTCTGTGACCCCTGCCAATGATTCCCAATCTAGTAATTCAGGGAATATTAATTTCCTCCTACTGTTCCCAGGACTACTCTTCAGTCACGTGAACATAACTTATGCTGCATTTCTGCTGGTTTGCTCCACATGCACCAAAAATCTCTTTTAATCAACAAAAAAGGAAAAGACAGCACATTCAGCAACTGGTCACAACTGTTGTCCCCTCTTCATTCATGCACATAGCACCGAGCTACTCCTCCATAGTTTCCCTCTGACCTTCCTTTCTAGATGGACCTACTCCAGATTTCAACAAACCCAGAATATCTCCCCTCTTGGCTTTCTGCCATTACAGCATACTCCAGATACCTGATACGATCAATGACCCCAAGGCTCAAGCTTTGAATTCTAAAGGAAACAACATGCACATCTCTCATAAGTAGACTATTCAGATTCACAGAACCCCAGACCATGAAAAGAAACAAACCAAACAAAACCTTACCAAGTCCCTTTGTTTCCAAGAACAGGATTTGCAGGTGGGCTCTCAAAAAATCCCATTATTCATCCATTATAGCCATTGATGATATCTTTTCTTTGCTGTCAAGAGACTGCATTTTCAGTCAAGTGATGCCATCTGCTAACAGCTGATCATTCCATTCCAGGTTAGTATTAAATATACAAATGAGCAGCAGCCTGATACAGCATTTTGAGGCACCTCTCTGTTACTCGTTATCACATCAAAAATGGACAACATAGCTTTATTTCTTTTAGCCTCATACTGTCCCATTACAAGTTGGTTTACCTATTAGTGAATCTTTACATATTCTTGCAGTTTTCTTTTTAATCCTTAGGCTAGTTTGAATCCCTACTTACTTTGGCATTTCTCATCTTTACAGTGATATAATACAGATTAAGTATTGAAAATATGGCACAGATTGATTATAAGGGTACAATCAACAGCAATAAACCAGGTAATTAGAAATATGAATACACCAGGACCAGAAGGTCTGCACTCCAACAAGACCTCATCAAAGATGACTTAGCAGCAGCAGAAAGCCTGGTGTCTGATAACAGGAGGATGGGAACAAGGCTTCACCATCTCACATGGGTCATTCCCATTCTCTCAACAGAAAGGCAGCAACAAAGACATCCAGAATGAGAAAACAAAGGCAATGGGCAGGAGCCTTGCCCAAGAATTAGGGAGGATGAAGAATGCAAAACTGAGGCTATAATGACGCCATCATTACCACTTGACTCCCAGAGGATATAAAAGCTTGTCTGAATCTAGTTTGTTGTGCCTGATCAAGACAAACCTAAGAGAGATAACAAGGACCCAGCAGCTGATGTCCCCTGTCCTCTGTGTCACACACACACACGCTCACACACATGGTCCTGACCAGACCATTTAGATGCACCCCTTTGTGCTTGTGAGTATGAGGGAACGTGTGAGTGAAACAGGAGTGAATGACTGAAATCAGTTTTATTTAAAACAAATGCAAGCATCCTCTCCCATGGAGTTTTGAACTAAGTTTTGTAACACTGATTCTTACACCTCAAAGGCTGCCATTTATTAATGAGCTATGCCATGAGAATTTTCATGATACTAGCACTAAAAAAGCATTCCAGTGCACCCATATGTCCTTGTGAGGAAGACTTTCACCTACAGTGAAGGCAACAGTATGAGATGGCACTTGGAGGTCTAGCACTTTTCCTTCTTCCCTTCTCCATTTTTGGGAAGTGTATTCCTTTCCCCTCACAAAATCTCTACCTTCTCCTGCCTCCTTCCTAGGGACTTACAGATAAGGCAGCTCTGTCCTGTTTCAACACTTTTTCAGGGAAAAGGAGTACATCCACTGGCTGCTACTGGGTAGGAGCACAGTCCACTTCTCAGCCCTCTGCCCTCCCCTCAGCTGAGGCAGAGAAGGCTTGTAGCAGTATTGCCCCAGTGAGACAGAAAAACTGGAGGAGGCAGAGCCACAACTGGCAGAAGTAGGGCAGAACACACCTCATCTGGACTGGATTACACAGGACAATGCAAAAGAAATGCCTAGTTTATACTACGGTAGTATCTTAGTACTCAATCACTTTGACCCCAGTGGCAACATATCTTTTTAGACGAGCAATTTTATCATCCTGTTGTTAAATGACTCATCACTGCTATCATTGCTAGATGATTAAAAGGAATGCGTTTGTCTAGGCTTTGCTCAAGATGAGCGTTCTCATCTCCTGGGAGTCAGTGGTCCATTCATTTCTCCGGGAGCAGTAAATCGGGTGTTGACTAATGTGTCCTTTGAAATATGTAAAGAAGCTGTTAAGAGAGCACAAAATATGTTTAGCCAGCAGTACCAGCTGGATACGAGCCCATCCAGGATACTCTGTTCAGCTGACAGCTGTTACCAGAACCACATGAGGGTTAGTCTCTAACTCTCTCATGCCTCATCCTGCTTGTCATCATCCCCTTTGTTTTGCCCTGTAGGAGGGGAGAAGGAGAAAGATATAATATAGGGATGACGCAGGCACTGGTGGGTAGAGAGCTAGGGAGGATTTGCATGGTGGCAGGTATTTAATACGCTGTGCACACCACATTAGACATGCTATTGGGGAAAATAGTGGAAGGAAGTTCTTGTTGTGCCATAAATTGCATCCTTTCGCTAAAAAGCAAATGACTTTCTGGTCATTCCATCTCTCAGTCCTCTTTTTGAGGAAAGCTCTTCCTTTTTCTGTTTGGTTTTTTTTCCCCCCATTCTCTCACTGTCTATTGTGGGGATCAACCTCATGGGCGCACCTGAGCTCCGACACCTCATGAGGAAGGGAGTGGAAAGGGGTTATAAGGGAAAGGGAAGTGGAATCGGGTGAAAATCGACTCAAATGTGTCAGTGCACGTGTCCAGCACTTGCTGCAAAAGGGATAGTCCTGGTGCCTA